TACTGCTACTACTACTACTACTACTACTACTACTACTACTACTAATAATAATAATAATAATAATAATAATAATAATAATAATAATAATAATGAAACTTCTGACATGTGAGGAATGACTGTTTACTTTATTATAATTGTTTACATAACTGTGTAGTTTAAACTTGTTTTGTAGTCAAGAACCACACATTTATTAATCAGTTCAAAAGTTTAAGCAGCCGTCACCTACTTCAGCCGCAGCTGTAATGTCTGTAGGGTCAAAGATGACACAGATGTTCAGGACTGTTGCCCAGTCAAACTCCTTTCATCTGAATCCATTTATCTCTACAGTTGTCTATTTGCTGATATTACAGATTCCATAGAAATCATAAAATTGTAATTTGAAGAAGGATATTTGCTGGAATATTCATAATAAAGCATATTTTATTTTCTGGAAAGAACCAAACTTTTCTTCAATTCAGAAAGGGGGAAAAATGAAGGAGTGATTTATATTTTTATGCTTCTGAAGTAACAGTCCTACTTAAACTAAGCAGATGTTGGAATCTCCGTCAGGATTTAGGCTTTAGAGAACAAATCTCATTATCATCCATCAGAAGTGAAGACACCAGATAAACGATCTGAAATTACAAAAAGATAAATATCAAAGCAAGTGAGCTGGTGCTGATCACTTAGCAGCTTATTTCAATAAAGGGTGGAGGCAGTTAATGGATGTATGTTTTTTTTTTTTAAAATGCAGATTCCTGTAGTAAATTTTTTTCTTTAATGCCAACTTAAAGATGAATAGACACTTCAAACTGATTGCTTGCTGTTTCTATCATCTCTGGCAGCAACAAAGCATGATGCTTTCTGCGTCTTGCTGCCCAGGTGGTTAACAGATTGGATTACAGTAGACAGTAAGAATGTTATTTTTTTGACACCTCTGTCAGACGCCACAAGGAGCGCTGTTTCCTCCAAACCAATGAGTGAATGTCGATGAACGGAAAAAAGCATGAGAGGTCATTTCATAAAAAAAAACATGTCCTGATTATTTGTGACTCTAAAACTTTTAAAACCTGTCAAGAGGCTAAAGTTAGAAACACTTTACTGTTTGATGTACATGAATCCAGCTGTGTGAATGCATGCTGAAATATTAGATGGTGTCACCACTCATCATCACTGATGTACCGAGGAGCAGGTGGAGGAAAAGTTCTGAGGTTGGAGATCTAGTTTTTTATTTGTGTCATTCCTGAAGGATTTTGATCAGTTTTTGTCTGATCTGCCTTGTAAAGATATTTGGACCTCCATCACATACATGCCATTTCATCTTCACTACAGTAATCTAAATAAAGTTACAATATTTGTCCATTTAATGTGTACGTCTAAACCTGTGATCTAGACTTTTTCAAAAATTGTGGTCTTTCATAATAAGTTTCATAATATATTTTTTAAAAAGTTAATTAAATAGGTTCTTTGAATCTAAATTCATATATCTGCTTACATAAGTTATAACAATGGAGTTGAAGGTTGTGGTTCTGCTCTGAACATCTGGAACTCGGAAACTGAAACATCATTTTGGGATCTTAAAGGCAAGGAATAACCTTCTGATTTTATAAATAATTACCACATGCATTGAGTCCAACACTCTTACACAAGTTTCTGTGTTCAGCAGAACACAGCAGCAGGAAGGCCTGATCTAACCTGACTCAGGAACTGGACAACTGGACGTATGCTATTGTAACTCAAGCTGCTGATTTCTGACCATGCCTCTGTTCTCCCTGAATGCACCGGGTGAGTCGCACTGAACCACTGAAGCAGGAAAAAGCTCTAATAGATGATAATCTAAAAGTGTGAACTTATCTATAAACTTACATAATGGATAGAAATTGTTTTTTGTCTTTTGAGAGAAGGGAATGTTTAATTTAAAAATTTCTTCTGTCAATAAAGAATCCACATTTTCCAAGTCCTGTAACAACTTGAGACAATTATGTAACATGTTATTGCTCTTTAAATGATCTCACTGTAGCGACTCAGCCAAAAATAAATGAGGGACATGTTTCAGCCTCATTTACCCTTTGCTCTGACGTTTGTCATTGAATGTGGGGCTGTTCCTGTTTAGCAGCTTTCATCTACTTTAAGAGTTGGTTCTATTTCTCCCTTTTCCTGGTAGATTAAGCACAATAGAGCCAAAGTTCTTTGAAATGTTTTTTTTGAGACCATGATAATTAATTTATGTCTAGATGTGTTCAAGATCCAGTCTCTTTTCTAAGCAGAGAGGCTGGATCTTGAGAGTTTGATAAAGTGGAGAATTTTGTAAATGAGATTTAAGACGGTGGATTAACCAAACCTCAGTGGCCGATGCCCACTGAGATATGTTGGACATATCATAGCTCAGGAGTCCTACCAGCTTTGGTTTGAGGTCTCCACATGGAGCCCAGAGCAGGACTATAGATAGGAGGATCATCAAACTGGTCAGAACAAGGAAGAGAGACATTCAGAGCCTACTGACTTTTTCTGATATGAATATGAATTCTTTACAGCTTAGTGTAAGAATATGACAACTAATCAAATCCTGATTAAGAAGAGCATTGTAACCCAGAATTACATGTAGCAGAATGTCCTCAATTCATAGTTTTATAACTTTCTGCCACAAGATGGCACCTTTTAACAGATTATGTGTGATTTTTATCATCACAGCTTCACAGATTAGCAATGATTGCTCCTAAAAGTGTGCATTGTATTTTATCAATGGTGAAATTATAATCACTTCATTGGGAAAAGGATATCCTTTTACTTACTTTATAGCATTATAAACAGTGAATATGTTACAGAATGTTCCTTTACATATCTGTAATCATGACGTCACTCATAGACCTTTTAGTTTTGAGCTAAACTTGTGACTATGACTTCAGATCCATCACCAGTCCAGTTTTGCTTTCTTCCTTTGCTTTGCAAAAATAAACAAACATCAGCAATCAAGTAAGGTTACAAACAATATGTTTCATATTAAAGATCACAAATATGAAAACCTTCTGGATGGCATTTAATTAGATGCAGTCAAAACAGTATTACTGGTAACACAATCAGAGAGAAAACAGAAGTGAGGGAAGTATCTGTTTTTAGTTGTGTAAAATGAGGACAACCTTTTGGTAGTTGACGGCAGATCAAACTGAATTTTCATTCTCTGTCAGTGAAGCATCACCTACCTACGCCTCCCTCTCTGTTCTCACAGGATGCAGCTGCAGACCTCGGCTTCATTTTTATACCTTGATGCAAACGAGGGGCTCAAGTTTGTGGATCTGCAAACCGTTTGTGGATCTGCAAACCGTTTGTGGATCTGCAAACTGTTATTTCTAGTTTCAATCCTTTCAGTTCAAATCAATTCAGTTTATTGGCATAGCGCCAATTCGCAAAAAAGGCCATCTCAAAGCAATTTACAAAAAAAAAGTAATTTAAATCAGACAAAGAAGACATTTCAATTAATTCCAAATTCAATTTATTAATAAAATTGATTTAGCATCTTTCATTTCAATATCAGTTAAAATATTGTAATGTGTTTGATAATGTATGTAGGAAGTTCTCAAGGAGATATGAAACAGAATCTGGCCTGACTGAAAGAAGAAGGTGATCAAACTAAACAAATCAAGTTTTAATCTATTAGTTTTGGACAGTATATGTTTTATTTAAATGTTGAAAATGAAAACATTTATATTTGTGGTCTCTTTAATTTGAACTAAAGACAAAATCTATTTAGTTCAGACTTTGCAAAGGCAGACATTAAACTTAAAATATTTTAAACGTTAAGAAACTGACAGTTAAAACCTCAGTGTTTCAAGAACTATTACTTCAGAAACATGACCCTGCGTTTTAGGAGAAGAGGCCTGCAGGTGTATCCTGTGAGAACAGAATTGTGATGCTTCACTGACCGTGGATGGAAACCTAAGTTTCACTTGTTAAATTCATCAGATTTTTCACTCTTAAATGACTGACTAAAACTTTTTGCCTTGTCACAACATTACTTTTGGGGGTGTGCAGAAAACAAATATTATAGGAAGAAACTGAAAAGATATGTTTGATTTTATTTCTCCTTAAATTGACAAATTAACAAATAGATCATTTGAAATTAAAATGTTACATTTCAAAGTAGATTTATTAATAAAGACAAAAACAGGCATAAACATGTTTTATTTTTTAGTTCTGTATTGTTGAGTTTGTACAGTTTATTTTATCTTTAATTCCTTTTTTGATTGTAAATCAAGACTTGGATTTAATGGATTTCAATGCTTCACTTTAAAAAGTGATAAAAGTGTAAAAAATAAGCATAACTTTTTACAGACATGAAACTAATAAACTTTTGTAGAAAATGAATTTGTAAATCAAAGTATATCTGAATTATAAGGATCGTGATCATTAACTATTGATAAAAGACATGTAATGTTTTGAATGTTAATGTTGTTAGTGAATTTATTAGCTCATATTTATTTTTATTATTTGTGGCAACAAGAACTGTAAATAGGTCACTTGTTCTTAAGTATGTTTATAAATGGGTACCTGAGTCTGCTTCAAAGTTGATGGATGTTTTTGATCCTATTTGCTATGAACTATAACATTTCAAATGAAAGCAAAGCAAATGGTTAAAAAACACAATAATGCTTTGAATTCTAACTAACACTGAATTTGGGGAGGATTATAATTTGTCTGCATCTTTATGTTAAAAATTCAATGTACTTTACATGATAAAAACAAAAGAATCAAGAAACATATTTTCTCAAATGTCATCAAAATCATCATCATCATCATCATAAAACTTTGGAGAGAAGAAATGAATTAATCTATTAGCATAAATGATGTCAGTTGTTTCCAAGAAGAAAATGTATTTTTTCCAACATATTAGAGTCAAAAACCATCCAAACCATGAAAGACTAAAGCTCCTCCTCCTGTCTCTTCCTCTAAGTGTCAGTGTCGTATTAAATGCCTCCTTCAGCACCTTCTATGCTCATCTTTTAAACTATTCTATCGGCAGTAAGGTCACTTTAGAAGTTTAAAGATTATTCTTAGCATAAACTGACAACATGCTGGGGACCCTCTGCACACTTATCACTGTTCTAACATGTAAGGAGGATGACTTAGTGCAAAATGTAGTTAATGTTAGATTACTCAATCTGAGTGTTTCTTTTGACTTCATGTCATCTTGTTGTTTGCAGGTGTGAGCGGTGCAACGGTGGTGACACAGAAGCCTCCAGTTGTGACAGTGAGAAAAAGAGAGACAGCCACCATGGACTGTAACCTGGGGACTGTTAGTAACAGTGCTGCTAGTTGGTACAAACAGATTCCAGGAGGAGTTCCTCAGTGGGTGCTGCGTTTCTACCACGGCTGGAGTTCACCAACCTATGGTTCAGGGTTTTCATCTCCGAAGTTCACATCAAATCATCAGTCAACAACAGATTACCGTTTGCATATCAACAGTGTAGAGGAAGGAGATTCTGCAGTTTATTACTGTAGTACATGGGATGACTCTGCTGAAGAGTGGGTATCACAGTGATTCACACTGTGACAAAAACCTGCTCAATAACACTTCTGCTTTTGCTCTCACTTGTGTCTACATTTTACATAAATACTGTTCAGGTCAATTTGACCTGACAATCAAGTTGAAGGGTAAAAACAATAAAAAGAAATTTCAATTCCATGTTTCCTTGCAACCATTTCACATATTTCACCACACACACACACACATGCACACCTGCACGCACGCAAGCCCACTTTCTTACTACTCTCCTTACTTCACTAGAAAACTGTGAGAAAGCAGGTGTTCATACAACTTTTGACAAGAACCTTTTCTATTTCCGTGGACACGCATGACTCATTTGTACTGATTAATCAGCGGGTCAATTTGACCTGGAACAAATAAAAAACAGTCTCAAGTTCATATATATATATGTAAATATATATTATATATTATTGTTTTTTATGTGAAGGTTTTTTTTCAATGGACATAAAAAAATGTAAATTATATATTTAATTTTTCACAAAAAAAAATTTATTTAATTTTTGATGGCCAAATGAATAAATGAGTGAGTTGCCATCATTGATCCTTTATAAAAATAAATAAATAAATAAATAAATAAATAAAAACCTTATTGCACATATATTGAATGAAATGGTTAGCATTAGATTTAATAATCAGGTACAAAAAAATATTGTGGAGGATTTGTTTGGGAGGTTTTTGACACTAATGCATGATTAAACACTCCATGGGTCAAATTGACCCAGGAACATTATTGCTGTGTTCCTGGGTACAGAATCATTTCTGTACTACAGAAATGATTCATTTTCATTGAAATAAAGAAACAACAGGTAGGAGAATGATAGGTTTTGTGAAGGAAGCCACCTTCTGGTGATCATTCCACACACATTGGTATCATGTCTGGAATCACAATATCCTGCACTTGTTTCAACTCTGTCCTATATTTTCTAACCAGGTCATTTTGTCAAGCTTCCCCAACGCATCTTTAAGATCATCAAGCTGCAAATAGGGGCCTCCTAGAACAATAGGTACAGAAATTAGACAGAATTTTCAAGTTCTCAATAAATTTAATAAATTCTCTTCAAAGATGCTAAAAACTAAAAAACATCAAAAAATATATTTGATTAAAGCTCCTCCTCCTGTCACTCGTAAGTGTCAGTGCTGTATTAAATACCTCCTCCAGCACCTTCTCTTTGATCATTGTCAGCAGTGAGGTCACTTTACACATTCCAAGATCATTCTCAGCACATACTGACAACATGCTGGGGACCCTCTGCACTCTCATCACTGCTCTAACATGTAAGGGGGATGGCTTACAGCAGAAAGAGGCTTATGTTAGATACATCAGTATGTATTTCTCTTGACTTCATGTCATCTTGTTTCCAGGTGTGAGTGGTGTGACAGTGGTGATACAGAATCCTCCTGTTATGATGGTGAGGAAAGGAGAGACAGCCACCATGGAGTGTAACTCAGCTGTTGATGGACCACGTTTCTACAAACAGATCCCAGGAGGAATTCCTCAATTTGTTCTAAATTTTTATAAGGACTTTAGCTCTCCAAAGTTTGGTTCTGGTTTCTCCTCTCCCAAATTAGCAGTTAGTTTTTTGTCAAACTCAGATTATCGTTTTAGAATTAGCAATGTTGAAGAAGGAGATTCTGCGGTTTATTACTGTAGGACATGGGATGACTCTGCTAAAGAGTGGGTATCACAGTGATTCACACTGTGACAAAAAACCTGCTCTATAACACTTCTGCTTTTTCACAAATGGAGGCATAAACTGTAGTCCTCATATAAACATAATCTAGTCACTGCATTATGAACATAATTCAGTCGCTGCATTTTGAACTCTTGTTTCAAAAACCCGAGTCATGGTGAATTTAATTCATAAACATAAAATCTTAAGTAAGGTGTTAAACTGTAACACTTTACATTTTATTTCAGATGTCAGGTTTTCACATCACCTTATTTAAACCGTGAGCCAAATAGACCCACTTACAGTAACCTCAAAAAATGGAAATTAGATCTGTAGTTGATACCACAGAAGTTTGTTCTGGTTGGATATTTACCAAAACAGACTGATGATCCAGAACTGGACTGAGAATTAAACGGCAGCAGGTTTTCATGTGTGTTGGACTGCTCACCCTCTACCAGTCTGGGACAACCTCTGTAGACATGGTGCTCCTGTAATCATGCATGAATACAGTAAAATAAAAAAATAATGAATTTTGTAACCAACATAAATTTTTTAATAAATTAAAACAACACCTCAAGCATGTCTTATACTTGTGTAATCCTTGAACAACAACAAAGTTGACCTTAATTTAAGTTTTAACTATAGACACAAGTGGTGTGTATTCACTGTATTTGTATATCTATCGCTCTGCTTTTGTAATATGGCTAAAAAACAAGTTTTAACAAACATCTGTCCAGAGCTCTCCTTGCTATTTTGATGATGCTGTTTCTAGGCAAAAAAGTGAGTACAATTTAAAATAATTCATATAAAAAAATTATTAAGTTTTAAGGTGTAATATTTTCTTGATGATTAAAATAATGTAATTTTGTCATAGTTGTGATGCGCATAAAATTTGAAGAAAAACAATGTCACAGTATTACACAATTTTTTAAACAGTTGCATTTTTTTATGCAGAAGCGATTTACAAATATTGTAATTTATGTAAAAGAGAAATCTGACAGTTCTCAGCATCATAGGATCTTTTTTTTTTATAAATTATAAAATCTAATTCATTTTTTTTTTCTTCTCTTTTTGACCAAAGACTAGTTTCATTGTTTAAGTAGTTAAATTATAACAATAAACTACTTATCTTTAGAGTTACACTGTCAGCCATGATGACCATATGCAAACATAATGCTCCTCCTCCTGTCAGTCCCTCTTATTTTCACTCACGTATTAAATGTCTCCTCCAACACCTCCTCTCCTTATCCACTAAACTCATCTGTCAGCAGAAAGTTAATTTCACATCTTGGAATCACACACTGACATCATGCTGGGGACATTCTTCACTCTGATCACTGTTCTAACATGTAAGGAGGATGACTTACTGCAAATTGTAGTTAATGTTAGATTACACAATCTGAGTGTTTCTTTTTACTCTATGTCATCTTGTTTGCAGGTGTGAGCGGTGCAACGGTGCTGACACAGAAGCCTCCGGTTGTGACAGTGAGAAAAGGAGAGACAGCCACCATGGACTGTAACCTGGGGACTGTTGATAATACTGTGTACTGGTACAAACAAATTCCAGGAGGAGTTCCACAGTGGGTGCTGTATTTTTATCGGAGTTTTAGTTCACCAACCTACGGTTCAGGGTTTTCATCTTCAAAGTTCACATCAACTCATCAGTCAACAAAAGATTATCGGTTAACCATCAACAATGTAGAAGAGGGAGACTCTGCAGTTTATTACTGTAAAACATGGGAGGACAGCAAGGCTGTATCACAGTGATTTATACCATGACAAAAACCTCAACACAAACACTTCTGCTTTTTGACAAATGGTGAACTGAAATAATATTTAGAAAGAGAAAGCTGCTGGCAAAAAAAAAATAAAAATCCCCAAACTAATAATGAGGATACAAGTAATGAACAGATTGTGAAATGAATAAACTTCAAAGCTATCATATATAATGCACGTTTTTATATGCTGTATAAAATAATGAAAATGGAGGAGAAATCTGGAGCTGCACACTTTGAGAGCAAATAGAGAGGAGTAGATTGATGACAAAAGATTTAAAATGCATTTCTAATCTGCTGTCATTGTTTACATTACTGAGTTAAACTGGATATGTTTAAAGGTAAAACAAGAAATAATTTATTTAATTAAATCTGTATCTCGACTCAGTTCTCCTTGCTCAGAGCTCACATTATAATTATCAACAATTGAGAAAAGTAAAGCATTCAAGTTGACAGTTTGTCAAATGGCTGTTACAGTTTTCAAAGTGAGCAAAATTTGATGCATCATAATAATTTTTAAAAAAATATCCAGAAGACAAATGCTCATTTATCTAACACAGTTGAGGATGAAACAACAGCAAATTCAAAGAGATGAGTGACCAGCTCCCCTAATGGAGTCGCATGTCTGCCTCCAGTACCAAACACCAGAAATCCTGACAGCCAAGAGGTCGCAAAGGTCATTTGGAGGAAACCTGACGTCAGCTAGGACAAAGGAGTTTCATGGGGTGAGAAAATAAAATTACTTTAGAGAATTAGCTGATTTAAATAATATGAAATAAAAAACACTAAATATGACTGCTACTATTACTAATAATCATTATATCAATACAGTTATAAATTCATAATAAAACATTAGTTCTGTAAGCATTCATATTCTTCAAGTACTGCAATGTCCTTGTGTGTCAAAACATATTTTTTTAATTAGTGATGTAAATATCTTAAGGATTGTAACATTTTAAACTAGACAGAATTTATACACATTAAAAAGTTATTGTGCTATTATAGTCTTTATATTCAGCTAAATGTAAATCTCAGAAAGCAGAAGTGAATCAGTCAGAGGTTTTTGTCATGGTGTGAATCACTGTGGTACAGCTTCATCAGCAGAGCTATCCCATGTGGCACAGTAATACACTGCTGAGTCTCCTCTTTCTGCCTGTTTTATAATCAACTGGTAGTCAATTTCTGATGTGGCTTTAGAGTTAAATCTGTCAGAGGAGAATCCTGCTCCAAAGTCAGGGGAACTGTGAGAATGATAAAACTTCAGAATATACTGAGGAGTCCCACCAGGCCCCTGTTTGTACCAACTGACATAATGGTTCTGATCTATCTGAATGTTGCAGCTGAGTCAAAACTTAGCTGCATCTGCATCTGTAAACATACAAAGAAAAGTCATGAGTGATAAATGTGTTTGAAAACGAACACAAAATAAGACAAAGGAGTAACTTACATGTTAGAGCAGAGATGACTGTACAGAGAGCCCACAGCATGTTGTCAGTTTGTGACTTCAATCTTGTTTATAATGACACTGTAAGACGAACCTGTTAGTGAAAGAAGACAAACTGAGACTTATAAAGAGTCTGAGGGGAGAAAACAAGGAGGAGAGGATTCAGCAATTTACATAAATTGATGAGTAGAAACTGTACTGTTCAGACAAGCTTTACTTTTTTTAAGGTTTTAGTTTTAACTTTAACTTGACATTTCTAATTCAATTTAAGAAAAGCAGTCAATAAATCAGACTGTGACTTCTATTCTAATGTTCTGGACAATCTCATTTTCTATTCTATCATTTTGTAATTCCTTGTCTTCCTGATGTTTGTGCTTACTTGTGTATTTGGGTCACCACAGTTGTTTTATTAGTTTTCTTGTCATGATGTTTGCAAAAAACAGGCAGAATTCAAATTTATTTTATTGTCAATGTTTGAAAATCAAAAAAAAAATATTTGAAACAAATTATATGTTTTTCTGTGATAAGTCTTTATTTATATTTTGTTAATTGGATTAACACATTTAGTAATCAATTTGCCAAGTATTAATGACAATATAAAAATGGCAGTAAAAACACATTCCAAGACGTTTTAACAAAAGCAGGACGGTAAAAAACATTAGTTTTATAAAAGACGTGACAAAATATCACCTGTCTGTTCAATACAATATTGGCTACAATGAATTTGATTCAAAAATGTCTTTCAAACTGTGAGGTTTAGAGCTCCTCCTCCTTTCTGTCACTCTCAGTTTGTGTTGTATTAAAAGCCTCCTTATAGTGCATCCTCCTTCATCTACTAAAGTATCTCATCTGTCATCAGTAAGATCACTTTACTCATTTCAAGATCATTCTCAGCCCACGCTGACAACATGTTGGGGACCCTCTGCACTCTCATCACTGCTCTAACATGTGAGGAGGATGGCTTACTGCAGATTGAAGATCAGTTGGATTCAGCAGTCTGTGTTTCTCTTGACTTCATGTCATCTTGTTGTTTGCAGGTGTGAGCAGTGTGACCGTGGTGACACAGAAGCCTCCTGTTGTGACACTGAGGAAAGGAGAGACAGCCACCATGGACTGTAACCTGGGGAGTGTTAGTGACAGTCGTGTTCGTTGGTACAAACAGATTCCAGGAGGAGTTCCACAGTGGGTGCTGTATTTCTATCATAGCAATAGTGCACCAAACTACGGTTCTGGGTTTTCATCTCCAAAGTTCACATCAAATCATCAGTCAACATCAGATTATCGTTTAATCATCAACAATGTAGAAGAGGGAGACTCTGCAGTTTATTACTGTAAAACATGGGACAGCTCTGTCAAAGAGTACGTACACAGTGATTTATACCATGACAAAAACCTTGACACAAACACTTCTGCTTTTTCACAACTGGTGAACTGCTGGAGTGAAGAATAATAAAGGCAACCATTCCACATTTTTTACACTTTCAGTCTTTGTAATATATTTGTTCAAACTGTGAACTCCTTTATGTTACGATTGCAGGCGCTGGGATTCTTTTGGGGGGTGTTTGCTCAAAGGTAAAATGCACAACAATACCAGTTTAGACTTTGAGCAACTTGTTAAAACTGTGTTGTGTAACATTAAAACATTCGTGGCCACGACTGTGTCGATGGTAGCTCTCTTTCTCTTCAGTGTTTGCAGCTTCTTGGTGCAGCTCCGCGGTGCTGCTACAGGTAGCTTCACCGCATCAGTTCAGCGTTACACTGGCTGATGACATTGCTGTGATTCACTTGTCTGGCGTTTCATATTCAAATATTTTTCTTCAATAAAAATCCTTTTATTGAGGATTTTTGTACATATGTTTTGGCAGCGCTCATGATCATTTGATCATGTCAAAGCAGCAATTTATATTAAAAAGTGTTTTATTGTTTGTCTGGATTCTGCCCGCTTCCATGGAAGGACAACGGAATATCGGTCTTGATTATTATTAAAATCACGATACCCTCACAGTCTGACAGTGAACAGTGAAGAATCAATGTCAGTGACAAATCAATACATGATGTGAAATATGAAACACATAATGATTAGGCGGCCCAGCAGGTGAATAGCAGGATGAATGAAGATTACTTGTGGTGAGCGTCAATAAACGATGAAAGAAACTAAAGAGGACATAACAATAAATCAAGAGAGGATAATGCTATTCAAGGAAAATTAAATGAAAATGAATGAAGAACAAAATGCAAGAATAAACTAAGAAACTAAATTAAATACAGAGGAATAAGCTGGTATGACAAGTCTTTTTGAGCAATAACTAATACAGAGGACCGTACGACAAGAATAAACAAACAAAAAAGATACAATCCATATTCCTGAATCCTATTTGTATGCCATTAAAAGGATCTGGAACTTTTGTTTTTATGCTGAAAGCTGTGTTCCAATGTGGGTGAATTTTATGGATGATACTCTGATATCCTATTCTCCTGAATGCAACACAGTCCTCTGCCACCAGAAACTCAGAAACACTCAAGAGAAGAATATAGTTGCAGTTATAACCACGTTTTAATGTTGCTGAGCACTGTCGTTTTACAAATAGATCAAAATTTAAACTGGCATTGCTCTACATCTTTTATCTGGTCATTTTGTGCAAGACTTAGCACAGAAAGGAAATATTTTTTCCCACGATTATCGGCTGCTGTTAGGCCTACCGATTTTCAGTTGAATGTCCAATGCATTTTTCGTAGACCAGGCGTCTATTCACATGGCTTTTTTGTTTTCTGGAAAATTACCTTTGATGATAAATTCAAAAACAGGCATAAAAATAGTGATGGTAATATTCATGATAAAATAATATTCAGTAAAATGTCCACAGAGACCAAAGTGAGTTAGTGTTTTCCAATAAAGGCAGGATGATAAGAGACTGAGATGTTTTCAGTGAAAGTTGCTCACAGCAGGATGTTTCACTTCCACTCCGTCATCAGAAACAATGAGAAGGTTTTTGTACGGCGATGTATACAAACTGAATCACTGTGGTATTCGGACCGGGAACCAAGCTCATTGTCACAGGTAAGGATTTGATTTAATGACTTTAAAATAAGACATTTTTCATATTTATACTTATTTTCTTTTTCTTTGTGTACGTTTGTGTTGCTAAAAGATTTTTAAAAACAATTTTTATGTTTTTATCACAGTTGTGTTTTCTCTCACAAAAATATCAAATTATGCCACACGGCTAATTTCAAAATTGAAACCAGATTTTGAATGATCAAAATCTGGTTTTGATAATTGTACATCGTCTCATTTTCCAACTGTATCTATGACAGTTGTGGTCGTCTTTGAGCCAAATGTAGTTACTGACAAACTAACCAAGAATTCACATACAATCTGCTCTTCAGTTTGTTGTTTGCAATAAAATATCAGCAGGATTCATGTTTTGTTTTATTTTTCTTGTAAATAAATGGTACAGATTTTTAAATTTTATTACTTTCTAAATGAAAAAAGACAATATTTAGAAAGAGAAGCTGCTGGCAAAACAAATCCCCCAAACTAATAATGAGCATAAAAATAATGAAAAAATTGTGAAATGAATAAACTTCAGAGCTATCATATATAATGCACGTTTTTATATGTTGTATTTTTCTCCTGTTTATTATTCATTATCATTTAATACATTTCAGAAACTTTTTTAGAATGACTGACTTTTTCATCTGCATGAATATTTTTTTGTTCTTAAATAACAAATTTGTCAGTTGACTACTATGACTATGCCTAAAGTTAGTTGTATTCTCTGTTTTGACCAACTTGTGCTTTATTGTTGATTAAATTGTGTATTTATTTATCTTCATTTCCTTCCAGGCTCCACTCTCCCTCCTCCTGTCCTGACCGTCTTCCCTCCATCGAAGGCTGAGCTCCAGTCCAACAAAGCCACTCTGCTCTGTCTGTCCAGTTTGTCCAGTGAAACTAAAGGTCTTGCTGATGTGAACTGGTTGGTTGATGGGAATCCAGTGAGCAGTGGGATCTCTACCAGCACTGCTGTTCAGAAACCAGACCAGACTTTCCACATCAGCAGTTCTCTGTCCATCCAGACATCAGACTGGAACATGAACAAGGCCTACGTCTGCAAAGTGTCTTTGGGCTCCCAGACTGCCGAGAAAACCATCAACAAGTCAGGATGTCCAGCTGAAGAATAGCAGAAGATCTTAATCATCATTTATAATCTGCTTTTTATTCAGTTTATTCTTTACAAGTCTTAGAAAACTTGCTTCTCTATTCGGTGTGCTTGACAACTGTTGTTCTCTTGGCTTTCTTTTTCATTAATAAACTATAGATACAGTGGAAATGTGAGTTCATGTGTATTTTTCTAGACATTAATGAGAGTAGCTGTACCAAAGTAAAATATTTTGCCTCTAAAGGGATGTTTGTACAGTTAGCTGTGAAAGATACCAAAACGTGTCCATACACCATGCTTATTCATCTATTTTTAGACTTTTACATTGTTTTTTACACAAATATTATAAAATATATAAATACATTTCTACATCATAAAGTTTCAAATATTTTGATTTTTCTAAAACATCAATATAAGAGTCAAAAATATTAAAGATTGTGTCCATGTCACATAATGATGAGGGGAAAAAAAAGATGAACATGTGAAACTGAGGGTTTTTTCCACACCTAGTGAAGCATCACAACTCAGTCTCTTCTTTTACAGGATACACCTGCAGGCCTATTCTGCTTTTCTTCCCCAATATGTAAATATCGGACTCAAGTCTCAGTGGGAAAACTCCCTGAAGTTTTAATCTTAACATAAGAACTTCATGAATCAAAAGTTCTAACTTCAAATTGAAACAATTTTATGAAAGAAATATTTGAAACTTAAATAAAAAGCAAACATGCAACAACAATTTGTAATGTTAAAACGATTTTATCAGATGACATCTGTCAACCATTCCAGAATCAGCCTCATGTTAGACACATCCTGCAGCACCTCTTCTCCTCCTTCTTGTATGTATTTGTTGTTTTATTGTTTGTGTTTTGACTCACTGAAAACGTCATACAGCATAAAATAAATATTTGCGTTTCTATAGAAAGCTGAAACTTGAACAGTTGACACAAGACTATGTTGTCTTTCTATCTCCAGTACCTGAAATTCAGACAAGCAAGAGCTTCTTAAAGCCATTTTCAGAAAACCTGATGGCAGTTTCAACAGAGGAGTTTCATGGGAGGAGAAAATAAAATTACTTTAGAAAATTATTGGAATGAAGAATAGAAATAAATACATCAAGCAGAACTGCTACCACTAAAATAATAATCATTGTATTGATACTCTCACAATAAAAATTCTGTCTTTTAGCATTCATATTCTTCATGGACTGCAATGTGCTTCTCTGGTGTTAACAGTATTTTGTTGTTGTTTTTTTCAATTGGTGATGAAAATATTTTATTGATTGTAACATTTTATACAAAAAAAGAAGAATTAAAAAACTAGAGTGTGATAATAGTCTTTATATTCAGCTAAATGTAAATCTCAGAAAGCAGAAGTGAATCAGTCAGAGGTTTTTGTCATAGTGTGAATCACTGTGGTACATGTTCTTCAGCAGAGTCATCCCATGTGGCACAATAATATACAGCCGAGTCTCCTGTTTCTGCCTGTTTTATAATCAACTGGTAGTCAATTTCTGATGTGGCTTTAGAGTTAAATCTGTCAGAGGAGAATCCTGCTCCAAAACTGGGGGAACTGTAAGAATGATAAAACCTCAGAATATACTGAGGAGTCCCACCAGGCACCTGTTTGTACCAACGGACATAATGGTCATGATCTATCTGAATGTTGCAGCTGAGAACAACTTGTTGTCCTGTAGAAACTGAGTGAACAGCAGGCAGCTGAGTCAAAACTTTAGCTGCATCTGCATCTGTAAACGTACAAAGAAAAAGTCATGAGTGATAAATGTGTTTGAAAACGAACACAAAATAAGACAAAGGAGTAACTTACATGTTAGAGCAGAGATGACTGTACAGAGAGCCCACAGCATGTTGTCAGTTTGTGACTTCAGTCTTGTTTATGATGACACTGTAAGACGAACCTGTTAGTGAAAGAAGAAGACAAACTGAGACTTATAAAGAGTCTGAGGGGAGAAAACAGGGAGGAGAGGATTCAGCAATTTACATAAATTGATGAGTAGAAACTGTACTGTTCAGACAAGCTTTACTTTTTTTAAGGTTTTAGTTTTAACTTTACATTTCTAATTCAATTTAAGAAAAGCAGTCAATAAATCAGACTGGGACTTATAAAGAGTCCTCTAGAGTTCTATTCTAATGGTCTGGACAATCTAACAGTCCAGACACCTTCATTTTCTATCCTATCATTTTGTAATTCCCAGTTTGAAAGGATTACCTGTCTTCTTGATGTTAATGTTGTTGACTTGTGTATTTGGGTCACCATAATTATTTTTCTTTGCTTTCATGTCTTGCTGTTTGCAGAAAACAAACAGAAATCAAAGTTTTCTTTGAAAACAAGTACATGATTTGCCATTGCATTGTTGAAACATTTATTTAAAGTTTGTTCATGGATAGGAGTCTTGTTTAAAATCAGTTATTTTGTGGGCAGTATTTTTAACTGAAGGAACTACCTTGCCATTTCATTAATTAGGCAAAATTGGGCGTGCTGTGGTGGCGTAGGGGATAGCACGACCCACATTTGGAGGCCTTGAGTCTTTGACGCAGCCGTCATGGATTTGATTCCCCGACTTGAGGATATTTGCCGCATGTCTTGCCCCCTTTCCTATCAGCCTACTTTCATATAAGGGATAGAGGAGCCCACAAAAACCCCATGGTGGGAAAAAAAAGGGAAGAGAGTGGCAGAGAGACAGAAAGAATGGTGTATCTGAAGCTGGATCTGATGTCATTCTGGAGACACTCGCCAGTTGCCTTCACTTCCAATCAGCACCAATTAGAAGCTCTAACACAGGAACGTTAGAGACCTTTGTCTTAGGGCAAAGCATTTAATATTGAATAATTGTATTTCTTCAAGTTTTACATTGTTCAGATGGAAAAATAAATACTGTGACTAAAATGTAGCAAAATATAGCTAATATAAAACGTAGATGAAATAATTAATTTTAACAAAACGCTCGTGGAAAGGTTTATTATACATGTTTACTCTCTGCTACAGAATACGTTATAAAGTCATCTATGAAAGGAAATCAAACTGTACTTTGGAAATTCTCATTTCCAATTAAAGCCATTCACTGCAGAGCTTGCTTAACATGAGGCACTGTGAACCTGTAACCAAGACTTTAGTTTCCTAAAAATGGTGATTACAGCACAAATTCAACTATTCTAGGAATGTTTATCATAGCAAAAACTGTGAATTACAGTAAGTTTTAATCTGGGTGCATGTGTAATGGTGTAAGCATTTCTCAGAATAATTCTGACTTATATTTTTCATACATGTACAGATTGCAGTGTCTCAACATCTTTCACAGTGATCGTTGTGTCTTCAGTATGATTTGAAAATGTAAAAATGGTTTAAAGAAGAATATGTTTTACTGTGACAAAAATCTGTAAAGTTATATTTAGTTACTTGTATCAATTTACCAAATATTTAAGACAATGTGGAAAAGGGCAATAAAAACACATTCCACGATGTTTTAACAGAAGCAAGACAATAAATAAATATTAGTTTGTTGTATAAAAGACATGACAAAATTTCATGTTAAGTATAATACAATGTATCGATTTAAAAAAATATTTCAAACTGTGAAGCTGAGAGCTCCTCCTCCTATCAGTCACTCTCAGTTTGTGTTGCATTAAAAGCCTCCTTGCAGTGCATCCTCTCCTCATTCATTAATCTCTCACAACTGTCAGCAGTGAGGTCACTTTCCACATTCCAAGATCATTCTCAGCACACATTGACAACATGCTGGGGACTCTCTGCACCGTCATCACTGCTCTAACATGTAACGAGGTTAACTTATCGAAGTCTGATGCACAGTTGAATCTATCAGTTTGTTTCTTTTGACTTCATGTCATCTTGTTTGCAGGTGTGAGTGGTGTGACTGTGGTGACACAGAAGCTTGCTGTTGTGACAGTGAGGAAAGGAGAGACAGCCACCATGGACTGTAACCTGGGGAGTGTCACTGGCAGTGGTGCTAGTTGGTACAAACAGATTCCTGGAGAAGTTCCACAGTTTGTACTGAACTTTCATCGGAGTGATAGCTCACCACGCTATGGTTCTGGGTTTTCTTCTCCAAAGTTCACATCTACTCATCAGTCCACAACAGATTATCGTTTAATAATCAAGAGTGCAGAAGAGTCTGACTCTGCAGTTTATCACTGTAAGACATGGGATGGCTCGGTCAATAATTATGTATCACAGTGATTCATGCCATGGCAAAAACCTCAACACAAGCACTTCTGCTTTTTGACAGCTTCTTGGAGAACTGCTTGATGGAAAGATAACAAACCATCCATAAATAGTTCTTGTATGTCTCTGATTTTTACTGTTTTATGTATGATGCAATTTTGTGCTTGTTTAAAATATTTAAGCTTCCTTGTAAATTGTTGGTTTTTAAATTTTCAGTGTAACTCAATTCACAATTTAAGAGATAACAATATTGGGACTTGAAAACATATATTGACTCAAACTTTTACTCCTAACTGCTTTTTTAAAGTTAGATGTTTTTATCAAGATTCCCTTCCATAGAATTTTCATGGGGGAAAAAAGTGTTTAAAACATCTTTTAATTATAACTGTGTTTAAATTGTCTATTAATCATTTGTATAAATCTCTAAAGTTATTACTAACAATAAAAGTGCGGTTTTTTATTATGAAAGGTTCCACTTTTACATTTGCAAAGTTATGTGAATAATCTTGTGTTACAGAGATTACAAGGTGTGGAGATCAGACCAGAGAACTTTTCACAGTAAGAGAAGTTCAAGTATTCAAAAGCAACACACTCAGACATAAGCACATGTTCAGATGATATTCAAATATAAAATACATAAATCAAAGGAAACGCTTTGATTCCTATAAAATTCAGACATACACTGAATCTTCCCATTAAAAATGATATTTTAGACTCATGAATCCCCTCCTCCTCTTCTCCTATCCTCAGGGTCTTTATAAGCCTCTGTTTCTCTCCTCCTTTCAGTCCAACCTGCTCACCTTTCAGCTACACAGAAAATAACATTTACACCACAAACTGACAACATGCTGGGGATCGTCTGGAGTCTCATCACTGCTCTAACATGTAAGATTTTTCTCAGACTATTTAAGATGATACATGCAAACCTTTTGATTCAACGGTTTTTCTCCATGTGTTGTCAGGTGTTGATGCCGCAATAACATTGACCCAGGAGCCTGCTGTCAGGACAGTCTCAGCAGGACAACAAGTTGTTCTAAATTGCAACATTCAGAGATATGATGGAAATTATGTCAGATGGTACAAACAAGTTCCTAATGGAGTTCCTCAGTGTGTTCTAAGTTTTCTGCACGATGACAGTTCACTCAACTTTGAAACAGGATTCTCTTCAGACCGATTCGACTCTAAATCATCATCAGACATTGATTATCAATTCATTATTAAACAGACAGAAGCAGGAGACTCTGCTTTGTATTTCTGTCAGACATGGGATGTTTATGCAGATGAAGCTGTATCACAGTGATTCACAATCTGACAAAAACCCAGACATCAAAACTGATCAAATATTTGAACATTAAACAGTTCACAACACATATTTGTTACTATAAACCATACTACCACTATTTAAATATGTCCACAGAGACCAAAGTGAGTTAGTGTTTTCCAATAAAGGCAGGATGATAAAGAGACTGAGATGTTTTCAGTGAAAGTTGCTCACAGCAGGATGTTTCACTTCCACTCCGTCATCAGAAACAATGAGAAGGTTTTTGTACGGCGATGTATACAAACTGAATCACTGTGGTATTCGGACCGGGAACCAAGCTGATTGTCACAGGTAAGGATTTGATTTAATGACTTTGACGTGAGACTCTCTTTTATATATATATATATAATTTTACACTTTCCTTGTTTTTTTAAGTTCTTGTTTTTTTTTTATTTCTATAAAAAAATATTTATATGTAGAACATGAAAAGGATTCTAACCTACAACCATTTAAAATCTTGTTTCCAAAGCAAATTCTCCAAATCCAAACAAGTTAGATATTTGAGTTTTTTACATCTCATCTTCAGACAATGTCTAAGACATTTTGGCAAATGTAGATACTGAAGACCGTGACTACGATTGACCAGTAATTCACATATATTCTTCTCTTAGGTTTATTGTTTGCAGTGAAATCCATGTTTTATTTGATCTTTCTTGTAAAAAAATGGCAGTAAACCTTTTGCTACATTAACTTACATTTTATTTAAATATGTCCTTATTTTAATACTTTCTAAATAAAAAATATCTAAAGAAAGACAAAACTGCAGGCAAATAATCCACAAACTAATAATAATCATTAAAATAATTTAATTATGATTTTTCTTTTCTAGTATAAATACATCCCTAAACTTTTATAAGCAATGCAGATTTTTATATTTTGTATCTTGCTCTTGTTTATACAATATTATTGTATAAACAATATTATTGTATTATTGCTTTGATGCTAAATTAAATCACATCATCTTTAGTCATTCAAACTAATCTAATGAGTTCATCTCAAAAACCTTGTTAGAATTGCTTAATTTTTCATCTGTTTCAATACTTTTATTTGTTCTCAAATAAAGTACATTATTTATTTAATTATCTTCATTTCCTTCCAGGCTCCACTCTCCCTCCTCCTGTCCTGACCGTCTTCCCTCCATCCAAGGCTGAGCTCCAGTCCAACAAAGCCACTCTGCTCTGTCTGTCCACTCAGTCTGGACCTTTTGCTGATGTGAACTGGTTGGTTGATGGGAATCCAGTGAGCAGTGGGATCTCTACCAGCACTGCTGTTCAGAAACCAGACCAGACTTTCCACATCAGCAGTTCTCTGTCCATCCAGACATCAGACTGGAACATGAACAAGGCCTACGTCTGCAAAGTGTCTTTGGGCTCCCAGACTGCAGAGAAAACCATCAACAAGTCAGGATGTCCTGCTGACGAATAGCAGAAGATCTTAATCATCATTTATAATCTGTTTTGTTTCTGTTTGCTTCTTACATAATTTAGAAAACTTGCTTCTCTATTTAGTTTTTATTGCTCCCTTGGCTTTCTTTTTCATTAATAAATCTTTTTTACATTGGAAATAAGTGTTCATGTGTGTTTCATTATTTGTGATTGAGAGTAGTTGTGCCAAAGTAAAAAATTTAGCTTATAATGGGATGTTTGTGAAACTTTGTGGAGGAGAATAAAAAAAAAACATACATCACATTTATTTCTTTATTACCTTTAATGTTTTCACAATTTATTATTTTTATACAACTGGTATAAAACCTTATATGCATTGTAAAGTTTCAAATATGCAGTTTTTCCTAAACAACCGGTGGGCCTAAAGACATCAAATATACAGTCTGAGTAAGTCATAATGTTAGATAGAGATGAACAAATGAAACTGAGCATTTTGTTTAAAGCCAATGAAGCATCACTTCTCTTCTCGCTGTCTCTTCTTTTACAGGATACACCTGCAGGCCTGCTGTGCTTCTTTTAATATCACATTTAAAGATAATAAAATCCAGTTTCAGAGTGAACAATCCCTGATACACCGAGGTTTTAATTTTTCTTGTTTAACAAATTTATATCTAATATCAGTATATCAATGTGTATATTCTTTATAGTGGAATTAGCAAAATAAATTGTATTACTCTCTATAATTGATCAAAATCAAGACGTAATCCTTTATCATTGCATTAAATACATAGCTCATAATTTAGCTCTTCAAAGTGAGTCTATCGGGAAAAGCGATGGGTCCAACCTATTTGACGTTTTTAGTTGTACTTTATCAGTGTTTGTATGTTCTCGGTTATACAAACACTAATTTTAAAAAAGGAGGATGTTCTAAATCACAATATTTTCTTTTTTGTCTTTTTACAAAACTGCAGCCACTGTAAGATTGATAAAAGCATGTTCACCTTTGTTTTCAGCAAGTAAGAGAAGCTTGTTCACTCAATCTTGTGAATCTTGTCATATCTTGTTTTCGGGGGAAAAAATGGGTTCTGATCCGTCCCAAAGTGACCATTAAAACAAGGTTGGGATGTATTCTCGTAGTCACAATCTGCAGAGATCATTAGTCCATCCATAACTCTGGACTGGAGTCCAGGCAAAGAACAGCCTGTGTCTTGTTTGGCATGTGTGTTCATAACACACATGCTCAGCCAGGTTTTTACTTGTTAACACTATGAATCACCACACCACATGCTGTTGAATGTTTTTAATAATTATTTGAGCAGAAACATAAAGTGCAAACCAATGACAGTTATAAACATTGAGTGTATAATCATGAGTTATGGAACAATCTCGTAACTCATGTTACAGGGTTGTAGCCCTGAACAGATAAACATCATTTTAGATTTATTTTAGCAGTGTTTATAACACACATGCTGAGAATCAGAATCAAAAATACTCTATTAATATAAAAAAAGTGTCATTACAGATCAGACATCTGATTAACAGATTAAAATTTGAAGATGAGAAAGTATAGCAGTATATTCCCATTAAGGTAATTCATTCGTGTAAAAGAGTTCTTTCAAAGATTGCAGTTACATTGTTTCACTATTAGCTGTTACTCGTATGTCAACTTGTGCTGATGCATAGTTTCACTTTCTCTCCTTCCGGAGACTCATATTTTTAAATCCTGCATCTAAAGCAAACTTCATTTGTCTAAAGCATTTTATAAAGGTTTCTGATTATTGATTATATTATGCACAAGAATATAATCTTTATATTTATATTTCATCTATATCCAGGCACACAAACCAATTGAATAATGAACAAGCAGGTGGATGATGCCACCTTGTGGCAGAATATGACCAAGAAAAGCAGAACAAGCATGACTGCATGACGCAGTTCATATTCTTGGGAACTTGTGATCAGCCCAGAATACCCTTTCCCATGACATCCAGCACTCTAAAAATATAGAACAATAGTTATTATTAACATCAGACAATAGTTAGCAATCAATAATTTTACTGTCTCTGAGTGCCTCTCCTCCTCGCTCTGATCAATGCTGGCTGATTGATGAGCCTCCTGTCTAGAGCCCTCCGCTCCGCTCCTAGTGGTGACCTCAGACCAAAGCTGGGAGGAATCCTGGACACTGACCAATGAGGTCTGGTGAATCGACCTTCTTTAATATCATCCACAAAAGCCTCCACTCCATCAAACTTTGAGGTGAGCTTCCCCAGCTTGTCTTTTAGCGAGTTAAATTGCTTGTAGAGGTCTCCCAGAGCCTCGGAGAGAGGCTGGATCCTAGGCACATGGAAACATGAATTAATTCATTAAAATGATCTCACTGTTTTAGTAAGTTGTCCAATACTGTTGGCTTTACTACACTTAAAACTATATCAGGAAATGAGAAGAACACAGCCAAGACAAAATGGCACCAGTAAGTCATCACTTACTGTTGAGCAGAAACAGCCACACAATCAGCAGTTAAACTTGGAATAACAAGAACAAAAGTCTTTTTTTTTTTATAAAAGTTACACAACTACTAAATGTTCTTGAAGATCAAAGTTGATCTACAAGTACTTGGCAATAACAAATAGCTGTTTGTTGTGTTGCATCATAAGCTCTGTCTCTGGAGAGTTTCAGAAACATTAGATTTAACAGACCATGTTGCTAAAACATTTCACTCTTTTCCATTTGGCGCACTCCCTGCATCAAGAGCATTTAAAAAGCAGAAACATGTTACATAACATGCAAATGTTGCAAGAGGGCCAGTTTCTCATGTGTTTTAATGGATGACTCAAAGTTCAAATTTGATCTGTTAGAGCTTGTTCCTGCTGCCTCGGTTCAGCACAACTCACCTGGTGTATTCAGGGAGAACAGAGGCATGGTCATGGATCAGCAGCTCTTTCACTTGGGTTATTATAGCAAATTTCCAGTTGTCCAGTACTTGAGTCATGTTGGAGCAAGTCTTTCTGCTGGTGTGTTCTGCTGAACACAGAAATCTGTGTAAGCGTGTTTGACCCAATGCATTTAGTAAGTGTTTACAAGAACAAGAGGCTATTCCTTGCCTTTTGGATCCCAAGGGGAGGTTTCATGTTTCCATTTCTGACTTGCAGATATTGACAGCATGCAGAACAGAACCAGAACCTTCAACTCCATGGTTTTAACTTAAAGACAGAAATATAAAGTTAAACTTAAAAAAAACTTGTCTTACAATTTGGTATATAAACCTTTTAAATTTAAACATTTTAAAACCGCTAACTTCATCATTACAGATATAAGTGTTAACTTGTCATATATTTCAACTTTGATTAGCTTTACAGTAGATGAAAATGACATGCATCTTTTGTGGTTTTACCTTTGTCTGAGGCAGTAAAATCCTTCAGGAATCACACGGATAAAGAATAAACTCTCTTCTAACTGCCTCTCCAACCTCTCTGAGCTTTTCCTCCACCTGCTCCTCCCAACGTCAGTGATGAAGGGTGGTGACAGAATCTAATATTTTAGCATGTGTTCACAGGGCTGGATTTATATGCACCAAGTGAAAAAAACAGAGAAATCCCTTCTACTTTAGATTCCTCACAAGTTCTTGAATTCTGTACGTCTTTTACATTGCTATTTGACCTACACATAAATATTTTATTATTTTCTTTGTTGGAATCTTGTGACCTTATCAACCTGCAACAGCGCTCCCTGTGGGCTCTGATCCTGAGGAGGTGTTAGATGGAACATTATGGCTCCAACATAACATTCTTACTGTCTACTGTAATACAATCTGTTAACCATCTGGGCTGACAGGCACAGTCAGCCTGATGCTTCAGGCTTTATAGCTGCCACAGATGATAGAAACCTGCTGACTCAAGAGCACTCATTAAAATGTTGAATGAAAACTTAAAATTGATTACATCAAAAGGTCTGTTTTAAGTTTCTACACATCTGTACGTTAGAATTAAAGACAAAAACACACAACTTCAGAGAAACTGTGTCATCCGTAAACTGCTTCCATCCCTTATTGAAATGAGCTGCTGAGTGATTTACTCCACCAATTCGCTCAGTTTGACATTTATCCATCCTTTATAATTCAAGATTATTTATGTGGTGATAATCTAACTTCTGATGGAGGATGAGGCAACTTGTTCTCCATAGTGCAACTGCTCCAAGACATTCCAACATCTGGGTAGGTGAAGTAGGATGGTTATATCAGAGATAAGAAGATATAAATCACTACAAATATAAAATTTAAACCTTTTGTTTGTTCTTGTCCAGAAATGATCCTTCTTTGGTACAGTTGGGGGATTCTGCTGACATTTGCAGCCAATTGGATGAGACAATTTCTGCTAACTGGGTAGGAGTCCCAAACATCTGGACTGTCTTTAAACTCAGAGACATTACATTTGTTGCAGTTTGAATAAGTCATTTTCTACAATTCAAGTATTTATATTTCAGGTTTGCTTATTTGTCACTACATGATTGAAATATATTTCATTTAATATATATTGCTGCAAATATACTACTGAAAATGTAACTGTGAAGTTGTAAATATTCCAACTTACTCCAAAATATTTAGGTTTACAGTTAGTTTTTCCAATTGCATAGAAATATGTTTCCAGATGTACTGAGGAACTAAGAGGCAGCCAGCTGCCTGCCTGAAGTAACACACCAATTTGCTTCCAGCTCCTTACAGCTCAGTCCAGTAGCCAGAGGAAAGAATGACTCCAGTGGAGCTGCAGATCCACTGAGGAAAATATTCAGCCCTCATACTTTCTGTTTTTCAGCTCAGTCGCATCGGTTTTATCAGATGCTACTTCTTTTCGTCTCTTGGAAGCACATGACTGCAAGAAACTTTATTTGAGAACTTGTGGAGGACAGTTGTGGCTGAAATGTATCACCTTCCAAATTCATGTTGTTTTTTCATTCCCAACAAAGGAAAAATAGCTGAGTATAATATAATATATGAGTATAATATCTATTAATAAAATAATTTATTGAATATCCTCAGTGAGATATTCGTAAGTAACACATTCAAATATGCAGCCTACGATAATGTTTGTTATACAAAACATAAAAACATGACTAAAACTTGTTATTTTATGATTACATTTGACTCCTGATATCTTGTGTTCTAGGAGAGACTAAATACTTACTGTCTCTGACCTTTCTATTTTTCAGTTCGAGTCAGTTTTTCAGAAATACCCTGATAAGAAAAGCTCCTTGTTTTGGGGGTCTGATAGCTCTCTAATCCCCTCATTGTGACTCTCACATGATGAAAAAAATTTCAGGCCTCACAGCACTTTGAGGCTGAACACAGCAGGGTCTCTTAGTATCAGTGCTCTGGTTTTTCTGCTGCAGCAAAAATTCTCATGTTTCATTTCAACTTGAGCTACTCGGAGGAATTAAACGCACAGGGACGGTTGTCTCCGATTGGATGACAATATGCGACAATATTTACCCCTAAAGAAGTTTGAGTGGCCCTGGTCTAGGAGAGACAATGGGCAGAATGAGTTCAGCCCACTTATTCCAAAGGTAGGCCTTGCAATAATTTATGTTTGTAAGCATGTTGTGCTGTTCTACAGTTAGCCTTAGCCCTCATTAAAAACTTTATTTCTATGTCTGAAGTCAAGTGCTGCAAAAGTGGAGGATGAGGAGCTCGGCCATGTTGACGGCGAATATCAAACAGGGACGCCCAGCAATCAGGATCGCAACAATCCTACAAGAATCCGACCTCATTACAGTTATTCTTTGATGGATTATTTCCTAAAATATTTCCTGTTCCTGTGCAACTTGGTCTTCACAGTTTTGGGTCTGGTGGTTCTTGGTTTGGGGATCTGGGGTCTCTCCAGCAAAGAATCGTTTGCCCAGGAGAAGATTGGAATTATCGGCACAGATCCGATGCTGATACTTTTGACGTTGGGCTTTCTGCTCACTCTGCTCTGTCTGACGGGGTGTGTTGGTGCTTTAAGAGAGAACAGCTGCTTGCTGAAGATGTTCTCTGGTATAGTGCTGGTGCTCATCACAATCCAGGTGCTGTTTGCAATCGTGGCCTACACAGTGCAGGATCAGCTTGAAGGATATCTGCGGTCAGGGATGCTAGCTGCCATGGCAGGTTATCAAGATGATCTGGACCTGAGGTTCATCACAGATGAGATCCAATTGGGTCTGCAGTGCTGCGGGGCCGACACCTACCGGGACTGGGAGGTAAACATGTGAGTGGAGTATGACCTCTGTTTATTTGTTATTTTAGTAAATTCTTTGTTCACCATCGATTTTAAAACATTTCTTTTTTTTTTTTTTCAGATATTACAACTGCTCAGCTCCGGGAGTTTTGGCGTGTGGCGTCCCTGCAACATGCTGCGTGGACCCTTTGGAGAACGGGACAGTGTGGAACTCACAGTGCGGCGTGGGAGCTCAGATCATGGACGAGTTCACCGCTCAGAGTGTGATCTTTCTGGGGGGTTGTCTGGGCGGAATCTCTCGTTGGATCGAGCAGCACGAGAGCCTGATCGGGACAGTAGCAGTCGTCGTTGTTGGGGTTCAGATTCTTGCTGTGTTCATCGCAACAAGACTGTTGGAAAAAATTCACAGGCATAAAGATCATGCATGACGTAAACATGGCATGAAATCATCAGAGTTCTGGCTGTTTCTTGGTATTTTGTTTTCAGTTCTGGGCTCCATTGTTAGACACATTTTATATTCAGATTGCATAAACAGGGTTTATACATTGGAAACTAAACAGGAACACATCTAATGTACTGTAAATATTTTCCTCTTCCTACATAAAAGGATGGTGAGTCATCGTGAGCAGTCGCTAAATATGAGTGATTATTTGTTATGGAAAGATTTTGAACTCACTTTTTTTTACTGTTTTTTTTTTTCTCTCCTGAGTCTGCAACCATACTACAAAGTCATCAACCTTTGGTGCATGAGCAGTTTTAATTATTTTTCTGTTTATTTTTTCACAAAATCTACACTGTCAGGAAGCAGTGTGAATACTATTTTACAGCCAAAAATACACTATGACTTATACTGAAGTCTGTGATGGGGGATCTGGGCTTTATGTTAACTATTAGAGTTGTGAAGCTGTGCTTAATGGCACGATTTTTTTTTAATATAAATCCTGAAATGCTAAATTATAAACAGATAATTAAATAGTAATTATTGGATTTGAAATAAAATTATTGTTTAATGATAAATCCTTCTGTTTGATAATGATAACAAAACAAACTCTCCCAATCATGTTAAAAAGTTAAAGCTTTATTTTGAGTATAAAAACACAGTGCTGACAGAATCTCCTGCTGGCCAGTAACTAAGCTATCAGCTACATCTCCATCTGCAGCCACACAATGACACAAGAACAGCAGCAGTGTTTTAGAGCATGAAAATGGCAGCTTGAGAGTCTCAGGAAATATATTTATTTTACAAAAAACAGCATACACAATATGCAGACATGTATTACATAAAATCCTAACACATTTCTAGCTTTATGTTTACCATACATGAATCATTAAAATAATCTCTGGACGTCATTTTGAATTAAATCCTCTTGTTAGTAAAAGAAAAAAAAAGCTGTTTAACTGTGAAGAAACTCAAATGATGCCATATTGAGCGAGTTCATGTAGCTCTAGATGGCTGTATGCTTCCCAGGGACAGATCACTGTGATATCTGAAAAGAAAATAATATTTACTAATAAAAACATTTCAAAATAAGTATATGTATTAGAGAAGACTTGAATGTTGTAATTGTGCTCACCAGTGCCAAGTCCCTCCATTCCTGGAATCTCCTCTCCAAAGCTAGAGTTAAGCATACATTCTTTAATTACTTTTGTTTGGTTCCAAATAAACTTTATTCACAATCATGAACATATTTGAGGGGTCTTACCCAATGACTCCCCTCTTCGGGGGCTTGCTCTTGAATTGACGGGTGTTTCTCTGCTTGAACTTGGGTGGGCCCTTTCGTGGGGAACCGGGGGCCGTTGCTCTAAGAGGGGCTTTGCCACCAGTCTTTGCTTCAGGTTTGGCTATGTCCGTATTCATGTCTCTGTTTTGTGACAATTGCAATGTCACAAAAAGGAAATAACAATGAAGATAAAAATTGAAGACAGAGACAAATAAATAGTCCTCTTTCTGAGACTGAAAAGCTAGGATTATCAGTGTTATTTTCTGCTTAACACATCAAAACAAATAAAGACAATGTGCTTCACCACAGGTTGCAGAGGCTCCTGTAATCTGATGGTCACGTTTTTAATCAACGGTACATGATGACTCTAATCTATAAAGCTCCCTCATAATCAGATTACTCTGAGGACATGCTGAATTTACTGCTAAACCCAACATATCATAAAAGGCACAAAGATTTGTTTCTTAGTGAAAGCTCTGTTGTGAATTAAATGAATGAAATAAAAATGTACAGTTTTTATTACAGCTGAAATATTCCACAAATACATAATTTGTTGACATAAAGACTTAATTCATTTTATATTGTTATAGATTGTGTTGATTGCATTTGTTTAAGTGCATGACTAAAGGGTATAATAAAGATGTATGACGGTAGAATACTCAGCACATCTTTGTCATTCTGATGATGAGATTGCTAAAAGTTGAAAAAATATGGATATGTAGTGTTTCTTATCCATATTTTTAAATAGATATCTTGAGTTTCATAAATAAACCAAATAGATTTTTAAAAATTTTGCTTTCTAGTGAAGGACAGATTCTGTTGCATATTAATAGAGCAAACAGAGAGCTAGTTTATATACCATAGAAAAAATGACTGAATGAAATTAACTGAATTCAAATAAAATGGAAGAATGTCTAAATAAGTAGAAAAAAACAACAACAATGTCAACCAAGCTTCCAAGATTTCATTTGAACTTCCAGAGTCCTAAAATTGCTTAGGTAGAACAACATCAACCATATCGATTTGTGTCTAAATAGCCCACAAAAAACAAGCTGTATTGTTAATTCTTATACTTACCACTTTTTGTGTATCTTCCCTGGTAATATGACAGAGATCTCTCTTTATGTCAAATAACTCTCGCGCTTCACTCTGTCCTTTTATACACTTCAAATTCTGAGGAGATTAACCTGCGACAAGCCAATAAACTGTACACACGTCATTTGTATTCCATATGGATGAAGACCATTGGGGGAGGCCAGAGGGCATTTAAAGATACCTTTTCTGCCCTAGAGAGACACTTAACAGCAGACACATGTAAGTCATAATCAGGAACAATGGAAATAATTTGCATATTTCCACAACCTTCCAGAAGTGTGCAGTGTAAGGTCCAGTTATAATTACTTATGAATATGTGAAATGTGCTATGTTGTTCACTATCTTCCCACTCCTCTGCAAGGATTACATAAGACCCAACGTCAAGAACACGCAAGTGTGATCTCTGGACATTTCACTCTCATCAGCATTCTTCCAGATTGTATTGCGTGATATATGATAATCCATTCCATCCTCCCTCCCACCTGAATAAACACACACCTTGTTCATTCATGTGATTGGCTGCATCTTCTTAATCTGGAGTTTAACTCATGCACACATACTGTATTGAAAAACTATACAGCTAATAACTTCCCTTATTCTTTATTCTCAATGAGACTTGAGGAAGTTACATTTCTCCACCAAACAGTCTAATGTCCAGAATATATTCGATACAAATATATTTACACATGTAGCTTCAACAAGATAGCCATGCATTGACAATTTTAATTATAATTCTCTGAAGTATCACTTTTGTATGCTTTACATTGTTTTTATTATTATATAGCAATTAATAAAAAATAATAATAATATAAAATATTATAGGTGGCAGTAGTATTAGTAGTAGCATAAATAATTACAACATGAATAATTAAATGCAGGTCTCATCTAATCTTCCTGCTTTTTATGAATGTTAGATAAGAATGAAGTAATAGCAAAAAGATTTGCTAAACAAGAACCCTTAGCTCAGAACAGAACCCTTAGCTCAGAACAGATGTTTTGTTGACCTCTAGCGGTGGAGTAAATTCATAACAATCTCTTCAGCCAATCAGGGTGCACTTCTATCCAAGCTCGTCTGTTGTTGTGATACATCACTTTGGAACTTAGACGGACCTTCAAGATTCAATTTCCTTAGTACTTGATTTAGTTATTTATCATTTTTACACAACCCAAAATTAAGATTTATGAGATTACTTTTTGACATTTTTGAGCCCACGAAAAAATTTTCTTAGTATTTTTAGTAGCACTCCTCTGTCCTTTTATTACAACTAATTCAACTAATTACAAAAATATTAGAGGGAGATCTCTTCACTTTTTTTGCTTTGTATCAGGAGGATTACTTTGAGAGTTTCCTGGCTGTAACGTGCTGTCCCACGTGTGATGATGATACTAAGTGATTTATAATATTAACATGGGGAAGAATAAAACAAGTAAAACCAAGGAGTCGAAACGACAAGAGGACAAAGCCGGACAAAATCAGAGGTAACCCCAGAAAGCTAACGTTTAAAACAACAACCATGTCACATGTGCAAGCTAGCTAGCAAACTAAGCTAATTGTTTTTAGCTCTCTCAGTCTAGTTTGGAGCCTGTAACTGCGGCAGAAGATGTTAAATCAGTGGACATAATTGATCACAGTGCACCGTGTTCCTTTAATAACTAAAATAGAAAATGTGCTATAATGTTTCAGCAAAAGGAAAATGAGAAGAGATGGCAAACCTAAGAAAACCACACAGGAGGACCACCTCCAACACATTCCCTTCAGGCTCCGAGAGATAATGAAGAGCAAGGATAAAATGAAAAACGAATCTTTGGGGAGCAAAAAGCTAAAGAAGGGTGAGCAGTTAAAGTCTGTGTGCCTATAAGCGTTTTAGCTGTTTTTAAATTATTTGCATTTGTGTCTCTTTAGCCCTCTCGTTGCAGTCTAAACCAAACGATGCCCTGGATGGAGACATTGCTGTTCCTCGATTCAGGAAGGGGAAGACAGAAAGCGTCGGTGCCTATGTTAGGCGCATGGAAACTGAGACAAAACATGTGCTGTTCCTCACAAATAACCAACTTGAGAGAAAACCTGAGCTTGATCCGGAAAAACAGGACAAGGCTGCAGGCACGGGGAAGTCAGAAAAGAAGAAGCAGTGAGTAAATGATGCCATCAAGGAAATTTGTAATATGTTCCACTGCCTTTATAAACTCTTGCTCTTGTCACATTTACTGTAAGTGAAACAGCTGGTAAATATGACTTTCTAGTAACCCAAACCTGGTTTGGATTATCTCCCAAACCAGGTACAACAATAATCAACAATAGGTCATACATCAGACCAATAATAATCATTGGATGACTTAAGACATCTTATATTTTTTACAGGATTGTAGAGCCATTCTGTTTTTCTCCTGAGTCTTCCTGCTGATTTCTTTTTCACACATTTTGCTCTAAAATTAAATCACATTAATTAATATATTATCAATGCGTCTTATCTGTGCACCCATGTTGTACTGTGTGTTGCTGTAGGTATGCAAAAATGAGACTGAGCAAACTGCAACAGAAGAAGTTGGATAAACAAGAGGACAAAATAGAGAAAGAGTTGTTTGTAGGTAAGAAATGCAGTTATGCATTATGCTGCTGTTAAATTATCTGCCATATCTGCTTTTTTGTGGTGTTTTATGCCAGTAGTTGAAAGTCAAAGAAATTATTTACCACTTAGACTTTTAATAATTTACAAACTGACACAATTAAGAGTGATACAAACAGAAGTAAGAGTCAGTCAAGACTGACCATACTCATGATCCACAGGTTGCAGAGCATCTGTTCACAATATGATAACCTAAATAACTACATATTGTGTTATATTACTAGCTTTAATTCGACATTATTAAGCTTCCATGAAGTTGGTCGAGGTTGATTAGTAAATTTTGCTTTCAGTAATTTGTATTTTCTTATATATTTTAGCAAATTGATTTTATTATAATTCAGAAGGCTTAGATGCAATTATGAATTGTTTGATGACGTTTGATTTTCTCTTTACATGTAAAATTCACTTTTGTGCTGCAAGGATGTTCTTGCAGCACAACGCACAATACCTGGTTTACATTACAGTTGTGGTATGTAAAGTACAAAAATTAATTTCTCAAAAAAAAAAAAGTGTTTATTTTTCTTGAGAATGTTTTTAAATGAATCAACTAGTTTATAGATTCGGGTAAAAAAAAAATGTCCTTGATGGGCCTAATATAATAAAGCTCTAACATCACGAAAACATCTGAAGAAATTTTACAGAAACTGGTTAGAGTTTTGCATCAGATTTAAATCTGAAAAATATATTTTATATGTTTGAACTCTGTCAAGCTCCAATAATTTGTTTCATTTTGTAGATAATGTTCCATTTGGTGAAGTTTCCCTGGCTCCACCGTCTCTGAGCACCAAACCAAAGAAAGCTCCAGTCAAAACTCAGGTATTCATACTTTGCGTTGAACACCTTATGTCCTACCATTTTGAATGCTGATGAAGTAGTTAAATTCTTTTTCTCCACCAATTTAAAAAACAGCCTTCAAAAGAGTTGCTCCTCAACTCTCTGCTCGGCCACAGCATGGCTTCCACAGCGAAGCCCTCCATGGCCAGACAGAGGATAATGGAGGAGGAGAGGCAGCGAGCAGTGGAGGCCTATCGTCTGCTGAAGAAACAGAAACAACAGGAGCAACAGACCAGAAATGCCAGCTTGGGAAAACTCTTGAACCTTGAGTGACATCGAATGTCACTAAAATCAATATGACTGTTCATGTCCAGTTGGTGTGATTGATATACAGACTTGACAGAATGATAATCTCCTCTAGATTGCTTCGAGACTCTATTTGCAAAGACTTTACACCACATTTTTAAAAATATGCAGGATTTACCTGCTACTTTCATAACCGCATGTTTCGTTGATATTATTACACTCAAAAAAGAGAAATCAAACATGTATAATTGCTGGAAAACATAAATGTGTAAACACTGGCTTTCTCAAAGGGTTAATTTTGTTGGTTGCTTCCTCATAAATGCAAGTTTGCATTCATATTTCCTATCAGGTGTCTGCGTAAATTCACTTTACAATGCAAATACTCCATCTTCAGGCAAGCCCATTGGCGTCATGAGCACCATAAATTCATTCATCTTTTTTTTTTTTTTCCATTTGTTTATTTTGCAGGGCATAATTACTTTTTGTATTTGAGGATAACATTACCCTTGTTGAAAACTGGTCTGCAGTTGGCCCAGATGGGGGGAGGGGTATTTTCAGTCAAACATTTTTCTTTTTGTATGTAGTCAACTTTTAGATCCTGTGCTAATTTTTGTAGCCACTGATTTTGACTCTCTTGAGTTAGTAAGAGCAAAAATAAACGTTCTCCATTTAGTTTGATCATAATCACCAACTTTATAACATGGGGATTTCATATGAAAGACCCAAGCAAAGTATGTAAACGTACAGATGGTGTGTAACAAGCTCAGAGGCCTGTTAGCACTTCAGACCAGTCTGGGATCTCACCGGAAACTAATCAACACATTCCACCTAAAATGAAGAGAGTTAACAAGTTAAGCAGTGTGGAGTCCCACATTATCTGAAAGAGCTGCAGAGATCGACATATTATGATTGGACTGAAAAATATCTGGTAAGCGCCCACAAAACCGACCTTTATGGAATAAGAAAAGCCATTGTCAAAAGAAAATATTATGTTGCTACAATTGTGTTGTTAATAAAGCCAATATGCGAAAGATGATGCTTTAGTCCGGTCTGACCAAAATTAAGCTTTCTGGTCTGTATGTTCAATGAAAAATAATATATCTCCAGAGGTAAAGAATAAGAATATGTTAGGCCGATTGCTGTTTTACAAGTTTAAGTAATTGCCTTCACCCTTTGGAAATCAAGTTGGATTTTTTCTCTCTTTTCTCAGTAAGGAAGAGGCATTTCCGGTTTGAAAAGCAATATGAGGTTTTACATTTTCTGAAAACAATAAATCACAGTCTGGAAAAGTGGAGCACCTGCCAGACTGGTGCAGCTTTTTAATTTTGTAATCCATTTAAAGACTTACTAAGATGAACAAGACCTTTGTTTAGACATTGGCACAAGCCTAGAAGTGTTGTTTGAGAGCTTAGCCATTTAAAAGCATCCTGGATTGAAAAGCAAACATTGGGTTAGTGCTATTTACACAATAGCAACAATGTTACCAGGTTATGCAGCAGATCTTGCCTTCTCTAAATCGGAACTTGTTTTGTTCCTCTGTCAGTGATTAGGAAATGCATGGCTGGTGCATGTGATGGGATTGCTGACTCCCTCCAGCTGAGTATATCCGCCCCCACAGCAGCGCCTCAGGCAGACGCTTGTGCAATCAGGAAGTTTACAGTTGCTTCCTGCACGTCTGAGCACCAATCTGGGTCACTGACCAGGTACAAAACACCTACCACACCCAGGAACTCCTTACTACCGTGTAATGCATTTTGAAACGCCTTGTAATGTTTTTCATTTATCCCAATTGAACAGATGTTTTATATCACACATAAACAGCTAAACCAGTGTGTGAAAGGCTTTTTGTAAACCTGACCCCTTTTCTTGTTTTGGGCTTTTCGTCTAGATTGTTTTGGAAAGTGGACGGTGCTTCTTTGCATGTTATAGACCCTTTCCAAAGCTGACATTTAGCTAGGTTATGGCACAAAATGTTTTAGTGTAGGGACTGTTTTCCACATGAGGAAACAGTGGAGCTGTTCTGCATATTTGGCTCTTTGTCAAGATTTACTGAGTCACAAAAAGGAACATAGCCCTCCTTAAATGGGATAGTTAATATTTTTTTACAGGTGAGGGATCTTAGCATTAGCAGATAAACAAGACTCACTAAAAATACTAGTTTTATGTAGACAAAACTACTTAACGTGATCTGACTGTGTTTAACACAAAAGCAACAGTTATATCGACTAGTTCAAAATAAATTGAGCAAATTATTAATATTTAATTTGAATCTAGATGTGTTCAAATCAACATACTTTTATTACATATTGTATATCTTTAAGACAGTATCAACCTTTTATCACTCCTTTTTTTCAGCCAGCTGATTGGCTGTGTGCAGTAGTTGTTTGGCAAGAATGCTTACAATATTTTTCCTGACATGAAATTTAAAGTACTTTAAACTGTAGGAATGACGGAGTTCACTTTTTTAATACTTGGGATAACCAGTAATTAGCCCATGCCTAAAGACCATCATTACCAATGTTTTCCTTCACAGTTTTCTTTTTAAAGATATTGAAATAGCCCTTTACCATCATTCATTAACCCAGGCTTTCTGAGGTATGACAACTCAAAATCTGTGCCGTGAAAGTGTTCTGTTTGCAGAACCTTTTATCACTCATATACACCAGGGGAAGCAAGCTCAAAGCACCACAGGAAAAAGCCCTTCTCAGCATTTGCCGTGACGTTCCCCTGTACAAAGCTGCAGCGTGTGATTTCCAGCTTGTCATCCATCTAATTTCCGAGCGAGTGCTCAATGCCGCTCGCAGAACGAGAAGGTGGGAGTAATTGGTAGAAATTCAGCCGATTCAGCCTGCTGCTAGGCAGCCACGGCTTCATCAGAACTCTGAAGTATGAAAAGTGCGTGTGTTGGTGTGTGTGTTTGTAAGTCAAAGGGTGACAAATTAAATGTAAATAATTGCAGTTGTCCATGCAGAAATGCTTTGGAGCATATTTTCATTCAAAATCCACATTATTTACATGCGATTCTTGCTTGTTAAATATTGTGTGCAGCTAAATCAATAGATTAAGCAGTGTACTCCTTATTATAAATATATTAATAATTTCTGTGTGAAGTCAAATGTTTCCCGGCCACTGGTTCCCCACTTTTATAAAATGTAAAGCCCAGCAACTCTGTGGCAGCACATGTGGCTTCAGATAAGCCTTATCGGGATTGGCAGATGTAAATGTCCGCAGAATGTTCCTCTTCCAGCATCTCACATAAATTACCTTCTCCTCATTCTTTTTACATTGCAAAGTGTCAAAACTCAGTGAAGTGATTCAATAACTTAGAATTTATTTTCAAACATTGATTTTTTTTAAACAAACCAACATTATACAAAATTAAGATTGCCACATTTAGCGGAAAAAGACAAAAAAATACATTACTATTTGCCTGTTGTTCTAATCACTGTGTTTTTCAACAATCATCCCACCTTAATCTTTGAAGATGATCAGTATGATATAAAAATATTTCAGTCATTGTTCCTCTTTAAAGATTTGATTGCAAAGAAAGGCATGACAAGAAAGTTTGAATTTTGCAGCTGCATTTACATACACGGCATAAAAAGACAAACACATTTTTTTTTCATAGTCTTAAATATAATCAGACTAAACTTTTCTTATTTTAAGTTATTTAAAACTACGAAAATTATTTCTATTTGCTAAATTCCAGAAAACGTAGTGAGAATTTTATTTCGTAACTTTTCCTCAACTTCAAAAGTTTATGATACATTTGGTCAGTGTCAGGGAAACTATCTTTTATAATATATGATTTGGGTGAAACATTTTGGGTTTCCTCCCACCTGCTAAAACGAGGAGTTTGATCTGATTTAACTTCAGACGACAGAACAGAAAAAAAAAGGGTTTGTGTCTTTTTATCCAGGTATGTAAATGTCTGGTTTCAAGAGAAAGTCTTCAGTGAGCGAGGCTAGGGGTTGAACTCCAGGTCTCTGCCTGGTACACTTCATAGCCTGAGAACTGTTTTTATCTCACAGAACACATAATAAAAGGCACAATATTTTCATATGTAAATATTTGTTTCGGGCATCAAGCAATGAATAATCTTCAGTCACTGTTGTTCTTATACTGTTGTATAGGAAACAACAGTTATAAATCTTCTTAGTGTTGCTTTAATATTAAAGCATCTTTTGAAGGGGAATTTAAAAAAAGCATAAAATCTATGGGAAATCACTGGGAAGCTAAAGACTCCTGTGAACGAGACAAGGAGCTGGCGCCACTCCCTGGATTCAAAGATGGGGCTCTGGCCCGAGGTATCATCACACCTTGGTTCATCTGTTGAGAGGAATGTTGAAGTGACAGTTTTAAAATTGATGAGGATTTCAAAAGGTGTAATGAACATGACTGTACTCACCATTGTGAGACCTTTGGTGATGAGCGCTATTTCTGTTGGCTGGTACACACCGCTTCGAAGCTGACCATTGTAGATGGCATATGGAGAGGTTGAGTTTGCCAGATCTGCTAAACAATATTTGCATGTTTAAAACACAGATATAAATTGAAGCAGGTTATTCAGGTCATCTCTGACCCATAAAAACTCCCCATAAAGACTTTTTTTTTTTTATTGCAGCATAATCCACTCTTATCATTACGGCAGTTTTACCCTACAATATTTTACAAATATTATAGAAATATAGGATATTTTGCACTGTGAGCATCTATGGTTCTCTCTGAAACACCCATTTCTTTAGCTCAACCTGACTAAGATTCCAATAAGGTTGATTTTGTTTCTGTGTTGATTGCGATAAACATATTGTATTTAAGGAATCTTGATGTTTTGTAAAGCAATTGACTCAGGCAATAAATTATTAATGATTTATGTTTTGTCTTGTAGTGGATGTGTTAGTGGTTTTATTCCCCTTATAAAACTACTCAAATAAAAGATAAGCTTATTCTGTGACAATAAAACATTATTGCATTTTAAGTTTCTATTTTTACAAATCTTTATCAACGAATTTGCTTTAATCAAAAGGCTTTATAAAAACAAAGCCTGTCTCAATATTAAATGAATCAGTCATTTAAGATTTCCACAAAACTTATCTCAGCAAAAGACATCAGTGTTTTGAGACATTGTAAAATGTTGTCACATGTTAAAAATTTAACGGGCTGTAAAATCATTACACAAATGAAGTGAATATGCTATAGTTATTGTATAGCAAAACCATATTAATGACTTCTCTGAATTACAAATGTATGTTGTGATAGCAAAACAGGTTTTTACTGGAATCAAACCAACCGTGTATATTGTCAACCTAAGCTGCATGGGAAACACATGCAAATCTTTGGAAAAGTTTTTTTGTTAGAGTTTGCACTCATTATTGCTCATTCCAATAAAGTAAAATTTATTTAATGTATGCTGTTGTTTCTGCTTGTGATTCATCACTATTGAAAGTTGTATTCTTTATCAATTACATCAGTATGTATAGCATGTGCTTGCATTACATAAATACTTTGCTTTCAGGTCATTGTGCATGCATGCTCTACCTTCTGGACTTTCATCCATACTGAAAGCTTTATTCTCAATGTACAGATTCTGGGGTGCAGGCTCCGGCTCCTTCAGTGTGGTGTCGTACGTGAGGCTCCTGGCAGGATAAACATGCTCTCCATCATGGGGCTCCTCGAGGTCTGGGTCTTCTTGTGTCGTCAGAAGGCAGATTTCTGGAATTATGTAGAAGGCAAGGAACACCCAGGCATTTGATGCCACAGTGACAGCCAGGGTAGGATCATCCCAGCTGGGATTACCAGCCACTCTGTTTCCATGGATGTACATGGTGATCCAGGCTACCCAGATAGCTATAGTAAAGAGTCCTGTGGCCAGGATGAAAGCACCATCTCGGCGCCAGTGCTTGTGCTTGTGTGATAATGAGGGAAAAGCCATAAGAACAACACCAACCATCAGAACAATTACATAAATGAGGGACAGAACAAAGTCCTTGTTGGCAATGCTACAGGAGAGGTCAGGGACCACTATTTCTCCAGGTG